GGAGTTGAACCTTCAACTCACTCAACTCGGCTGGGGCAAAACGATACGGTGCCATGGAAATCGGCACTGTGCCGGGCACTAAATCAATAGAGAACTCTATCTCTCGGTGGGGTGGTAAACTAACGAGATCCTCGGGAAAAACATCCGAATACTCACAAACCACCCTTGGCAATACAATCTGGGTCTCATCACACTCACCACTCAAAAAGCTAGCAAGTTGACCACTAAGTTCACTCCGCCCTTGCGGATCATACATCGGTGGCAACACACTACCAACCCGATCCCCCAAGAAATGGAAACACTCCCCGCTCAAGGTACATACCGTGACCCTCTGGCGGCAGCAATCAATAATAGCCCCGTATGACGATAGCCAGTCCATACCCAAAATAACATCAAAGCCCTTCATGGGCATCATAACAAAAGGAAAAGGAAGCCTACGGTCGGTGACCTCTATATCACAACCTCTACATCCGTGTTTCATAACCAATTCACCACCAACAGGTGATACTACACAAATAGGAGATGCTAAAAGTGCCAACTCCAACTCCAACACAGATGCAAATGCAGCAGACACAAAAGAATGAGACGCACCCATATCAATCAACACACTAGCAACCGAGTTGCAAAACAGAAAGGTACCTCTCACTACTGATGGAGCTGGTACTAGGTCCTGCGCGGTAACAGTATACACGCGCCCTGTAGGCCCCTGATCCACCTGCTCACCTCTAGGAGCAAAGGACTGCTGCACAGACTGGGATGTCGAAGCTCCCCGATTGGCCCTCGAGGCCTGCACAGAGTGAACTGGCTGATAACTCTGCGTCTGCCTAGAACCAGACGCTCCCAATATGGCACTCAACTATGGGCAATACCTCTTTAGGTGCTCCGACTGGCCACACTGATAACAAGACAAAGGCTGGCCCTTGCCCTGACTCTGGCCCTGAGGTCTAGTTGAAAAAGAAGCAGCTCGCTGACCCCCTCCCTTCTGCGGGCAAACTGAAGACTTGTGACCCAGTTGGCCACATGCAAAACAAGTCAAGCCTCCCTGACCACCTCTCCCGGAGCCTGCACTCGGCACTGGGAAGGTCGATCTAGCCAAACTACCCTGAGACTGCTGAGGGTTAGAACCCCTCTGTCTCCTGCCATCACCCTGACCATCTTGGCTCCTCTTGGAGCCTCTCTGCCCCTCATCCTCCTTCTGCATCATGAGCTCCATGTGAGCTACAGCATCAACCAAACGTCTATACTCCCGGATAAACGACCCTTCAATCCTCAACTTCAACCCACGCCTCAGCTTCCTCTCAAACTCAAAGCAACGGCGTTCCTCGGACGCCACAAGTTCAGGTGCAAACCTGGACAGACTGGTAAAAGTAGCCTCAAACTCAGCCACTGACAAGCCCTGCTGTTTAAGCTGGCAAAACTGTTCCCTCAGCTTTTCCCTAGCAGCTGAAGACAAAAACTTCTCTTGGAAGGCATTCACAAAAGTCTCCCATACACCACCAACACGGCCCTTCTCGTACTTCCACCATTGACCCGCATCTCCATTCAGCTGGAAGGATGCCAAGGTCACCTTTAAAGTTCCATCCTTGATGCCAAGCATCTCGAATGTCTTCTTCATCTGTTCCAACCACTCGTCTGCCTTAAGTGGCTCCTTCGGATCCCCAACAAACTCGTCCGGGTTAGACCGAAAGAACTCCCTCTTCAAGAAGGAAGGCCCTGCCTTAGCACCCTGATTCTCAGCTCTGAGAATACCCAAAGCTCCTGCTATCTCTCGGGCCAAGGCACTCATAGCCTGTTGACTCACTGGCTCGGCCACATTAGCCTGACCAACCCCCTTCTGCTGTGCCGGAATATCATCCGGTAAAGGCATCTCCTGCCTACCACGTCTGCCACGCCTACCACGTCCTCGTCCTAACATCCTAATAAAGGTAACCAAGACTATTAGCACATTCACAAATGTGCCGAAGCTATAACACTCGCGTCCTAATGCATGGACAACTGTAATTCACCCCACGTAAGCACATAATCACGTAAGCAATTACGAATTTCATTTCCGGATAATGATAGACCCGAGGTGTTACTAGAGTTCCGGTTAGAACCAGCATTGATCAAGTGCTTTTCCAACAAGACTCCTAGAAACCCAAGGATCCAATCAACATCCGAGAAACTACATTCCATACCCATATAGTCACATAAGCATGTTATAAATTAAACACATAACATTATGTCTAAGTCTCTAACCAAGCGAGACAAACCCATTGTGATACTAATCACTTCACAC